CCAACTGGGAGGTGGGACTGTGGTGAATTCCTCTCCTCTGTTCCTATGACATTTCATGGATTTTTTCCATGTATTTTGATCCACTGCCTGGCTGCCATCACTCCTGTCTGTAGCCTCATTAACGAGGCCTTGCTGGGTGCAGAGTTCAGCAGTGAACAAGTCAGAAATGTGATGTAAGAGATCCAGTCCCGAAGAAAGCGTGCCCCAAAGCTTCTGCCAGAGAAGGGCCCTTCACTGATTCCCAGAGCACCCCCTGGGCTTATCTCCAGAGCCACAGTGGGGGAAAATGTCTGCAGGGAATGCTTGGCTTGAGCATAGAGAGAAGGGATTTTCTGCTTTTGCTTTGAGTCTGCCAAAGCTGTCTGGTTGGCCTTCCCAGCCTTTCCTGGCCAGGTCCTGCCTAGTGCCATGGCAGCCTCTGCTTCCACCAACTCTGGTGTCACCAGACCGAGAACAAGTGTCTGGCACCTCCTGGTCTGTGCTGATGAGCTTCCTGCCTCTTGTCTCTCTTGCAAGTGACAACCATAAAGCAGATGAGGATGGTATGGTTTGCCAGGCCCCCAAAACCAACCCCCAAGCGATGGGGAAGGGGCATGGCCAGTGACTGTGGGTGAGAATCTGTTTTTGGAGATCGACTAGTTGGATGAGCTGTCAGCATCCTCTTGAGGAATGTGGAATGTGGTTCAGCACCTCTCTGTGAAGTTCTTTGGGGGCTTTTCTATCCTTTTGGGGAAAGAGACATTTCACTTTGTCCTGTTATTTTTTCTGAGTTGGGAATTTGTTGCAGTTGACCCAGTGAGCAGTATTGCCCTTTTCCTCATGGAAAATTTAATCCCGCTCCAGACCCAGCCTGAGGGGTCCACATGAGCACCAAGCCCATCTCTCTCTGCCCAGGTTTTCCCCAAGAATCACATTCTCAGCGCGCTCAAGACCATCTTTGAGAAGAACGTGCTGAGCTTTGCGGGTGGCACCATGGGGGCAGTGAACGGCATGAGACCCGACGGCGTGCCCGACACCTCCAGCGTCCAGTCCAGCGAGGTGTGGGTTGGCGTGGTCTACTCCCTGGCTGCCACCATGATCCAGGAGGTAAGCAGGAGTGCCGCTGCCGTGCTCCCCAGCACCTGCTCCTTGCACTCCATGGAGGTGCTGATGGTCCCGTTCCCTCTCCTGCAGGGCATGGTGGAGGAAGGCTTCCGTACGGCAGAGGGCTGCTACAGGACGGTTTGGGAACGGCTGGGCATGGCTTTCCAGACACCCGAGGCCTATCGGGAGAAGAAGGTGTACCGCTCGCTGGCCTACATGCGTCCCCTCAGCATCTGGAGCATGCAGCTGGCCCTGGAGCGCCGGGCTGGCCAGGCACTGGCACCTGCACAGCTCTGCCAGGGCCCCACGCACCCCTGAGCCTCATGGCACTGGGCAGGGCACTGGGTGTACTACGGGCTGGGGGGGCTGCAGATGGCAGGCAGGGACCCTCCCCTCCCGCTCCGTGCTAGTACTCACATTGCTGTTTTCCTTCCCTACCTCCACTACATGCCCTTGACCTCAGGGGGCTTCCAGCCACTGATGCTGAGCACAAAGGGGGACCAGAGGTGTGGGGGATGTCTTCTCAGAGCGTGGTGGGTTGAGGAGTTGCTGCTGGAGCCTGTGCCTCCCCTTCCCCATCACTCAGGGCTCTGATAGCCTGCAGGTTCCCCAGCCAGCCCAAACTGCAGCTGGTGCCTTGTCCAGGGGCACAGGAGACCTCTCTCCTGCAGTCATTGGGCTGGGTGAGGTGGGGACCTGTCCTGCAGGGAAAAAAAGGCTGTGGGTGAATGTGTGTGTGAGGATATTGGAGTGGTGCACTCAGGCACGTGGATGCTGTAGTTGTCCTGGGGTGACACTGCACATACTGACTGGCTCTGCCCCAGGGGGGCCTGTGGCAGATACAATCCCCAGGGGAGACCCGGCTCCCTGGACAGTGACAATCTGAGCCCAAGAAGCAGGTCCTGGTCTGGTACCATGGCCCCCTCCCTGCTGGTGCCGGGGGCAGGCAGTGGAGCACATTTAAGGGGATAAATCACTTCGGTTCTTAATAAAGCTGTCCAGCTGTCTACTCTTGTTCTTCTTTGGTGTCTTCTTTCCACCAAGCCAAGCTAAAAGAGGAAATCCTTTCTGCTCCCGTGTTTCTTCTTGGATTGGGCTGGTGGGCTAGGGAGGCAGGGAGGGGACAAGTCCCAGGGGTGGCTGGCTCTTGTGAAGTATTGCTAAAGGGAGCAGGATCTTCACCCACTTCTCCAGAAGTGGCAGCAGGTAAGATCTGCTGCTTCTTGCTTGGTTCCTGGCTCTGCCCTTCCTGCCGGTGGCGGAGGGGACAGCCTCTGTGGGGAGCAGCTGAGCCACAGCCCTGCGGGCCCTCGGCTAAATCGAAACCCCTTCTGCCCAAGGCTGGGCACCTTCCTTCCTTTTCCTTCTTTCTCTGCCACTGCAGCATTTGACGGCTGTACCATCCTGGTGTGGGAAGGAAGGAAGGAAAGGAGGGAGCTCCACTGCCTTTCCTGTTATGCCCACAGACACACAGAACTCCTGGACAGATGGATACTATACCCCTTGGACAGAGAGAGGGACAGCCCAGTCACCTTCCTGTATGAGGATGTTCTGCCCGCAGTGGGGGTGAATGGACTTGAACAATTCCCTATTTGCAAAGCTACCAGTGGTGAATGGAGAAAGGGGTGTCTTGTTGCTTTTGGCGTTGAATAAAGCTGAATTGTGTCTGATTTGTCAGTCCCCAAAGTTAAACATCCTGAATAGAGATGTGAAGATGTGATAGAAGTGGTAAAAAACCAAATAAAGGAAACTATTGATAATATATCTAAAGCTGCTTAGCTGACACAACTGACAATCACAATATACTGTAAAAGCCTGCTCCCACTTTCTAAAGGCAGGGTCTTCTTACACCCTCCTTCCCAGAGTGTGTGTGGAGATTCCTTCCTTTGCATGGGGATACCCCCTTCTTGAGGCTGAAGCAGAGAGGTTTGCCCAGAATTACTGGTATGGGTGAGTAACCTCAGGCAGTAGTGTGTAATTGGTTTTGCTAGCTTTAATATAATGAATGCTGCTTCAAAATAGTGAATCATACTATAGAAATCATTATAGCTTCTAATCTGTAGTAAATCATTAAGATATTTTTGTCTAATTATCATGATAAATTATTTGTTTTATATAAATGTGTCTGATTTGCCATCCTCAATCCTGTGGTGGTACTATCTTACCCAAAGTTTCTATTACATCTGTACAGACATAATCCATTGAAAAAATCTAGGGCTAAGCTGGATTCAGCTATGCCCAAACTCTTCACTGGGCAGGATTCTAGAGTTGAAGAATCCTTTGTAAACCTAGTGATTCAGTGGGATGGCTTTTTTAATAAACATTGTCTGAATCTCCCATTCTGCCTGTGATGCTCTTGGAGACAGACACCCCCACAATCCCATGTCCCTCATCTCCTCCATGTCCCAAAGCAGGAGCAGATACGTGGGCCAATTCTGTGTCCACAGCCAGGGTTCCTCTGGGTGCCATGAGGAATTAAGGGTGACAGCTGGGGGACTCTCCCCTCCCAGCATGGGCAGGGGATTGCTGGCACTGCTGTACCTGGAAACTGCCGCTGCACGGTGAAGCCAGAGGTAGGGTAGCTCTTGGCTGCTGGGCTCCTTGCAGGGGTGACATTGGGATCACCTTGTTGGTGGCTGCCAACAAGCAGGAGCCCAAGAAGGAGCCCAAGAAGTTCCCAGCTGAGTTCAGGGCTAAAAGGGTTATATAAGAGCCTGGCTCATTTCTCCACATACCCTGCACGTGACCTTGGGGCTTGTGTGGGTGGCTCGGTCAGTGCCAAGGCACAGTTCCACTTTCAGCCTCCCTCAGCACAGCAGGATGTGTGTCCCATGGCACAGCCCCTCCCCCTGGCAGCTGGGACCAGCCCATGGGCATCAGCTGGGAAAGCAACCCCCAGTCTCTAGGCAAGGCAGCAGAGCTGGAGGTACTGGGTACCCCCTGTACAGCAGGGGTAGAAGACCCACAGGACCCCCAGGGGCAGCACAGCCAGAGCTGGCAACCTCCTTGATCATGGACACTGCAGTGTGGTGTGGATCTGCATGGCACAGCACAGCACACTCAGAACATGCAGCCCCTCAGGCACAAGCTCTGTGTGCTGGGGTGGCACAGAGAAAACAGGGGCTGCAGGGATGGCACTGCCAGGGCGTGCAGCCCCTCACCCTGCACCCAGCACAGCCCAGCACAGCTCAGCACAGCCAGACTCTGCCCACAGCTGCCCTTACCTGCCTGGCTGCAGCATGATGGGGCACGAGCAGGGCCAGGGCCAGCAGCAGCAGCAGCCTGGGGTGCCCATGGTGGTGGTGGCTGTGCGTGGTGCCCGGGCCCTGCTCCTTTCATATCAGAGGGAGCTGAGCCTGCTGCCAAGGGACACCCATGGGGTAGGAGAGCACCAGTCCCTCTGGACAGAGATGGAGTATGAGAGGGACAATGAGGGAGGTGGCAGGGAGCATGGCCAGGGCAGCAAGTGAGAAGAGCATTAAAGATATCTCAGGGAGGGCAGGGGACATCTGAGGACATTATAAATATTCTGTTAGAATAATGTATTTAATAATAGAAAATAATTAGTTTTGATTACAAGTAGAAAATTTTGATGTATATAGTATGGGAGTGTTAAAGTGCTGTGTTTAAAATATGCAGCTATAGAATCACCCCCCACGAGGAGTTACTGGAATTCCTGTCTTTTTCAGGAGATGGTCACGCATCAGTTACTCTGACTGGAAGTGTCCCACCCTTCCCATTTGGATTCACTATCAGGGGTTTAAACCAAATATGGAAACACCCACACTGTATAATACCCTGACCAGAGCTGCCACCCACAGCCCTGGCAGCAATAAAAAGGAGAGGGAGCAGGAGCATCAGCAGACACCTGCAAGGAGGACATTTCCTTGTACATCAGCTCTCCGCCTGCTGCAGAGATGGTGCAAGCAACTCCCTTCCCCCTCGTGCTCTTCCTGGCCCTGGGGGCTCATGGCCTCTCTGTGAAAAAGGTACCGTCAGGGTGGGATGCAGAGGGTGGGGTGGGCAGGGGGCTGTGGCTGCAGGCACCAGTGCTGAGTTCCTTACTCTGCAGTGCTCCCTGACTGGGACTTGGGAGAATGACCTGGGCTCCAACATGACCATCATGATGGTGAATGCAAATGGTGACTTTGCTGGCATATACTACACAGCTGTGTCAGCCACCACAAAAAAGATTGAGCTGTCACCATTGCTGGGGTCCCAGCACCAGCCATATCTGCTGAAGCAGCCCACCTTTGGCTTCACTGTCCATTGGACTTTCTCAGGTACTTAGTCTTTTCTCACCATCCTTGTTGCGCCCCCAGCCTCCCTTCTGTCCCTGCCTGCAGTGTCCCTGCTGATTCCCTGCCTTCCCCTGCACCATCCCCACTGCTCTCCCTCTCCCCTCCCTGAGCTCCCCCATCCTTGTCCCTGGAGCTCCTTGCTTGCTGTCAGCTCCCAGTGCCAGGGTGCAGCAGGGGCAGCGGGGGCTGAAGCCGGCGCTCTCTGCCCCTCTCCGTGGGACACCCGCTGCCCTCTGAGCCCTCCTGCCTGCTGTCCCCATCCCCGCTGTCCCCAGAGGCTGGGGACAGCAGGGCTCTGCTGTCCCTTGTGCTGGGCCAGCCACTGACCTGCCACAATTCCCTCCACCTCCTGTCCTGTCCCCACAGACTCCGTCACGGTTTTCACGGGCCAGTGCTTTGTGGATGAGGATGGAAAGGAGGTGTTGAAGACCATGTGGCTGCTGAGGTCACACGCGGACAAACGCAGAGACGACTGGAAAGCCACCTTGTGAGTTCTCTGTCCCTGCTCTGCACAGGTCCCCTGTGCACCCACAAGGGTTGGGGCTGTCACAAATGAGTGATTATGTCACTAAGGAGTCACTCTCACATGTGCTGAACAAAGCAGGTTTAGTATCTGTGAAACTTAGTGAAGTCCCATGGCAAGGTTCACTTGTTTGCTTTGTTCAGGGGTAAAACATGGGAAGGAAAAAGGGAGTCAGAATCAATTTAGAATGATTTACGTGAACTTGAAGAAGGAAAAGGAGAAGTGTGACCCTTCACATGAATCACAAAATTCAGGGAAGTACCCACTGCTTTCTAAACTACTGATGGATCCTAGGTGGGGCTGATTCCACTCTTAGACTCAGACCTGCTCCATGGCTTCTGTCTAAAGAATTTGGCAGCACTTCACCGTTGACCAATTTAACCTTTATAAAGTAGTTTGGGAGGGTTTATCACAATTAGAGCAGAGACTTCATTATAGATCCAAGCTGGCAGCAGTCATAGTGCACTTGCTACGGGCTGTTCACATCCCTTCAGCCATGCACTCGGAGGGAGATGGTGGCACAGCCCCTGCAGTGGTCCAGGAGAGCTCAAGGGCTCACTTAGGAGTCTTGTTGTAAAGTCATGAGGTGATTGACGTTAGGGTGATCAGTCAGTCTTCATCCTGGATGTAGTGTGGGATGGTAATTACAGGAATTTTCCACAGTTCCAGTAGGGATAGCATTGTTCCATTTGGGCTGTGATTCAGGCAAGTGATATCCCAAGGTCTTTGGACTACTGGTTTCCTTGATTAGGCAACAGAAGGACTTGGTGTGCAAAGTGTCTATGACAAGTTCAAGGGGAGCTTCACCACCTGAGAGACATTTCCAAAGCCAAAGGCCCAAGAAGCAATCCTGAGTGGCCTGAGCATGGGGATGAGGGGTGGTGCTCCCAGCCTGTGGTGCTCAGTGCTCGGCAGAGCTGCTGCCATGCACTGGGTGCCGTGCAAGTCAGGGAGGACAGGGTGCTTGTGCACAGCTTCCCTGGGTGTCCTGACAAGGTGCAAATGTTTGGAAGGATACAGGGCTGGCTGGGCATTTGGGCACTCCCATGTCCCACCCTTACATCTCCTTTGTCTGTGTCCCCACAGGGTCGGCTACAATGAATTCAAGCGCCTGGAAAAGCACATGGAGCCGGGGTGGTAGCACTGGAGTTCCCAGAGAGGAGGCAGTGCCAGGCTTGTAGCCCTTCCTCCTGCCTCAGGCCCTGCATCTCCCAATAAAGCTCTGCTGCAAACATACACAGTCTCCTCTGTTTGTGGATCAGTGCCCCTGTTCCCCTTCCCCACCATGGCACTGTGCTGCCTCTCTTGTCACTGCCCCTGAAGGCCAGCGTGTGCCTTTGCTGTGCAGTGTGCAGGCGGGCTCTCTGGGCAGCACAGGGAAGAGCTGGGTGTGCTGGGGACCCCCCTACAGCAGGGGTGGGTGACCCACAGTACCCAGGGACAGCACAGAAGTATTGGATGGCACAGCATGATATGGGATGACATGGCACAGCATGGCACACTCAGAACATGCAGCCCCTCAGGCACAAGCTCTGTGTGCTGGGGTGGCACAGAGAAAACAGGGGCTGCAGGGATGGCACTGCCAGGGCGTGCAGCCCCTCACCCTGCACCCAGCACAGCCCAGCACAGCTCAGCACAGCCAGACTCTGCCCACAGCTGCCCTTACCTGCCTGGCTGCAGCATGATGGGGCACGAGCAGGGCCAGGGCCAGCAGCAGCAGCCTGGGGTGCCCATGGTGGTGGTGGCTGTGCGTGGTGCCCGGGCCCTGCTCCTTTCATATCAGAGGGAGCTGAGCCTGCTGCCAAGGGACACCCATGGGGTAGGAGAGCACCAGTCCCTCTGGACAGAGATGGAGTATGAGAGGGACACTGAGGGAGGTGGCAGGGAGCATGGCCAGGGCAGCAAGTGAGAAGAGCATTAAAGATACCAAGAGAGGGTGGAGGAGGTTTGAGAACACCACAGGATATGCACTGGATCTCTGGGACACCACAGAAAGGGTGAGGGAGTTCTGAGGACACCACAAGAAAGGTTATTATCTCTTTCTGGCCACAACAGAACTTTTTTTGTGCCAAAGTGCATCCTTAATTGCTCTCAGGGCTGGCAGGTAGGAAGCCCATTGTCCTTTCCTCTGTGACCATTCTTCAGCAGACCACTCTGCTGTCCCAGTGCTGCCAGTGGGTCACAAATGGCCTTATTTCTGCTGCCAGGGGAGAATTTCTGGGCAGAGGAATAACCTTATCTGGAAAGAGCAACCTCCCAGATGCCACATCCCTGCACCGGTTGGTGTCTTCCCATGTCAGAGCCCAGAGCCAATGGAGAAGGACAAAGATGCAAAGAAGCTCTCCCTTAGGATAGCTGTGGGAGGCTGGAGGGGTACTGTGACACCAGAATACCAGGGCATCACCTGGGCTGTCCACCTGCACCTGTCTGTGGGGACTGAGAGACATCGATTATGTTATGCAAGCAAAGCTGTTTATTACATTAGATCACCAGCATTTGTAGGCCTTTATGTTTTGTATAAAATATTCTATTCAGACATCTTTGCTTCTGTTCCTTTAGTAACACAATCTTTTTCATTATCATGTACAATGTTTTTGTAACTTTCTTTCACTAGCAATGCCTTTGTTACATTTTTTCATCGGAGCACTCAAACACGATGTCTTGACTCTTGTTCTTGTTTTGGGTTATCTTTCTCACGGCTTTCACTGTACCAGCTCCTAGAGGCTGGTGGCATTACCCAGCTCAGCTGTCTGATCTCCCATATCTCCCCCATTTTTGTTTCCTATGCAAAGGCTTCATGCATTTTGATGTTAAAGCAGTTTGTGTCTGAAATGCTATTATCTTATTATTATTGGTCATTTCTTAGATACAGGGTAGTATATATGGAATGCAGGTTATAATAACAATAATTTATTCAATATAATCATGTCACTGACAAAGAGATTTGGAGTATAGGAGAATAAAAGGATAATGTCTAAGGTTTCTTAGGAAGTGGAAATAAATGGCTACTGTTTTAAAGTTCATGTGGTTTGAGATTAGGGGCTGTGCTGTTTAGGCATGAGGAAGCTCATTACTTGGAAATGTTGAAATTGACATTATTAAAAGTCTTTCTGGAAGCGTGGAATAGGGAATAACTGAAGAAACAGTAGGAGCACAATAACTTGATGGTGTGTGCAGTAGGACTTAATATTCTATTTGACTTCTTTGCTTCTGTTCCTTTAGTAACACAATTTTTTGGATTCTTATTGTGAGCAAACAAAATTTTTGCTACATTCTTTCACTAGCAATGTCTTAATTATGTTCCTCATCAGAGTGCTCAAATGTGATGTCATCACTTTTGTTCTTCTTTTGAATTTATCTTAACAACCTGCATTACACCAAAACCAATTAAGTCAACAGCATCACCCAACTCAGCTCCTGTATCTGTCTAATCGTCCACATTAATCTTGGAACAAACACATTCTGGTGAGATAAACCAGCCCCTCTGATGGCTGGTATTTTAGGAACACCCCGATTGCACAATGTCCTCACCAGAGCTGCCACCCCCAGCCCTGGCAGCAATAAAAAGGAGAGGGAGCAGGAGCATCAGCAGACACCTGCAAGGAGGACATCCCAATCAACTCTCCGCCTGCTGCAGAGATGGTGCAAGGAACTCCCTTCCTCCTTGTGCTCTTCCTGGCCTTGGCGGCTCCTGACCTCTCTACACAGCTGGTACCATCAGGAGTGGGATGAACAGGGTGGGGAGGTCAGGGGGCTGTGGCTGCAGGCTGTGCTGTGGCACAAGTGCTCTGTGTGACTGCTCTGCAAGGGGCAAGGACAGAGCTGAGAAGACCAGGGGTTCCCCCAGGGCAGGCAGAGCCAGCTGTGCACCTCCAGCATGGCAAGAAGGCACCCCCAGTGCTGGGCACAGAGATGCTGAGGCAGCAGCATTCCAGGCCTGCAAGCCCTGGGCACAGCAGAGCGGCTGCAGGGGGATGCTGGCTCCGTGGCACACATCCCTACAGCAGCCCCTGTCCCAAACCCTCCGTCTCTTCCCGAGGTGAAGCCCTGAGCAGGCACCAAGGCAGGGCCTCTGGGGACACTCACCAATGTCATACTGCAGGCTGATCTGCAGCTTGGGCCACAGCATGATGAGAGCAAAGGAGGCGTAGAAATGGACATCGTAGGTGTTGTACATGCGGTACTCCTGGCCTGGCGGGACAGGGCAGATGGTGAGGGAAAGGAGACTGCCTTGGCAAGGGGAAAAGGTCCTCCCTCCACATGGCCCAGGACAGGGGAATATTTCCCACCACGGGCAGGGGCCCCCATCCAAAGACATTTTCATTCTCTACACAGGACACCAGGGATCTGGGGAACACTTCATGCCAAATCCTTTGGGCCTACAAGGGGTTTTCCTGGCAATAGCACTGCTCTCTACACACTGGAGTGTGAAAAACATCCCCATGGCAGGTGAAAAACAGATGGCCACGGTAATGGGAGGGGTTGAGTTGGGAGAATCCCTCACTTCCTTGTGAGTTACCTTCCAAATAAGCAAACCTTCCGTATTCCCGCAGGACAGGGAGGAGGTGGGACAGTCCCGCCCCCGCCGGCCCCTGCAGGTCCTCGGCACAGCAGTCAGGGGGCACCTCCATCCAGATGGTGCCGCCATCCGTCATGAAGTAGAGCTCATTGAAGAGGGCTGACTTGTACCAGGAAGGCAGCTGGCTGCGGGAAAGAGGGAAGCTCACCCTCAGAGGCCGAGCTGGTGATGCTCCTGTGGCAGCCAACCCCAGGGGGGCACTGGGAAGGTGCTCTCATCTGTCCTACCTGTTCTCCAGGATGGGATTCTGCCACGCTTCGATCTTCCTGTCCCCTGACTCATAGTGTGTTAGGGCAGAACTCATTGTCAAGAACAGTCCCAAAGTTGTATGAACAGCTTTTGGGGAAACCACAACAAGGACAAGCAACGGGAAGTTTGGATACTGCCTAAATTTGGGAACAAGCCACAGCATCCTAGAGAAATTCTTATCAGCCAAGCAGGCTGCAGGAAAGAACTCTGCCCTGACTTGGGTGCCCAGAACCAGCACAGCCACCCATTTCCCCTGCTCCCCCCACTCCCATCCCACAGAGAATGGAGGGACTCACCGGTGGGTGAATCCAGCCTGCCATCCTGCAGGAGGTCCTGCCACACCTCTCTGCCCAATCCCATGGGATTGAATGCCGTGACATGGGTGACTCCTGTGCCAGCCTGAGGAAGGGAAGAGCATCATCAGGGGCTGCTGCTTTGGAGGACAAGATTAACGCTCTCTACTCCCTGACAGCACCACCAGGAGATCAAACTCACTCCCCATGTGCTGCCCAGCAACTCCAACTCCAAACTTGTTGCCTCAGCTGCTCTCCTGACACCACCCCCAAAGAGGCTGCTCTCAGGGGAGTCATGTCCCCACTCCTGGCATCAGGCAAGCGCTGAGAACCGCTGTCAACCCCAAGCCCTTTGTCACGATCCGCAAGGTGGGATTCATGATGTGGTTCTTTTATTTGGTCTTAGAGTACAAAAGATGGTCAGCAAACCAGGGACTTAAACAGCAAAACACACTTTATTGAGTGCTCATCACTAGCACTAGTATGTGATAGAGGGAAAAGAGGAGAAAGCAAAGCCTAAGGAAAAGAGAGTAAGCGGATTATAGCTACCAATGTCAAAGTCCACTCAGCTGTCCATCGACGCAGAGTCTTCTGTCCGTGGAGGAGATCTCAAAGGAAAGTAAGTTTTGGGATGTATTTTATAGTTTTTTACAAAGCGAGGGGCATAAGGCCAAACCAGAGGAGATTGATGACCATTGTGATGAGGCCCATTGCTCAGGGTGGGCAGGTGTGGGCTACAAGTCTCTACTCACCAGCCAGAGCGAGGGCAGTGTACCGTGGCAGCACAGTAAGCACACCTGCTAACAACCACTTGGCAAACATCCACCTCAACCAGGCCAGAGCCCCTGTACCAAGTCCCTTGTGATGTTCAGGGTCTTTCCTTGTGGCAGTCGTGAGACAGATGGGAGAATCTTCAGACCATCTCTTACACCCTTGCACACCCATCCTTTGCCAGCTGCCTGCAGGCAGCTCCCCCACATCCAGCAGGGCTGCACGTCCTCCCCAGCAGGAGCCCCAGTGGCAGGGCCAGCCCTTTACCTTCTCCCAGGCAGAGATGGCCAGGGTGAAGGAGTTATAAATGGCTCATGCACTTATAGAAAGTGTATCCTTGTTTATTAAACAAAACAAATCACTAATTGAGGACAGGGCCCCAGGATAAGCCCAGAACCCACTTGACAAAACAGAGAAAGTTTTAGCAGTTAACAGCCTGTACAGAAAAAACATGGCCAGGCATTCCTCAGGAGGCTTGGCTCTTTTGGAAGACCCTAACTATCAGCCTTTACCTCTCTTTATAAGTTTGCCACCAGTCTGATTGGTCCATTTTGAACTCCTCATCTAAGCTCTCCGAATCTAAGCTCTTTCTTTGGTCCATATGGTGGAGCATTCCACACCAATTATTTTTTCATAAGTCCTCTTCATTGGTAGTTTTCTCCTCCAATTGCAGTCCACCACATTGTTCCTGGTTGCAGCATTCAACTTCCAGAAAGTTCTCAACTGGATAACTCCCTCATTACAACATCCTCATACAACCATCATGTAACTTACATAACTTTTATTAACCTAATTAATCGTGAAATAATGTCTTTTTGACAAAGGATACTAACATATTCATAGCAAAGGAGTTCACAGCTGGGCAGTGGTGCAGCAGGACTCCAGCCACCCGCTCACCATCCTTCTGGAAGGTGAAGGGCTCGTTCCAGTGCCCGCCGCTCCTGTCCCCCTCCGCTCCCGTGCCGTTCTGCAGGCTGAACATGATGGACACTTCCACGTCCTCATCCCTCCCGTTCTCCACCTCCCAGATGAACACTCCCACTGGCAAGCTGGAGTCCTGGCAGAGACACACAATGCTGTCCTACAGGGCTGCTGCTCCACAGGCAGCTGCCCCGGCATCATTTTCCCCGCTGCTGGGGACGCCACACACCGTGCAGCGGCAGCAAGAGCACTGGCAATAATAACTCGGTCTGGGCGCCTGCTGCCGAGCTGAGGAGCAGCAGCAGCAGCAGCAGCAGGAGCGCAGGAATTTGGGAGGCCCTTCGGCAAGATAAAATTCAAAAGAGAAGCCCTGGGCTGGCAAACACCACGGCGGGCAGCAGAGAGGCGGAAAGCGGCGTTTAGGGCTCAGGCGGGTGCCTCATCACTCATCTGCTCGGCAGGTTGACACAGGCTCACGTGCTGCGCCGGGGTAAGAGGAAGGTCAGACGTGTCGGCAGCACAGCTGCCACCCTCGCCTGGGGCTGGCAGCCAGCACGGGCAGTGTGGCAGCGCCGAGCCATCCCTTGCTGCAATGCCGAGCTCCCGCACGCACGGCTGCGCGGCTTCCCCCGCCTGGGAGCACGGCTGAGCGCAGACACCGGGAAATGTTGGGAAAGCCGGCCCCGCCTTACCTGATAGTCATGGGGGATGACGGGAGAGAGCTGCCGGCAAGTCAGCACCACCTTCTGCCCCGGCAGCTCGTACACCAGCCAGGCACGGGGGTACAGCGCATGGTAAAAGGCGTAGTGGCCGCAGTAGCCCCAGTTCCAGCCCTGCAGCCTGCTGGGTCTCTCCACGGACAAGACCTGCTGGTAAATCGTCTGCCCCTTGCACCGCAGGCACACCGTGAACTGTGGAGGAGAGAGCACGTGTAGGGGAGGAGACGGGCCCTGTGGCAGATGTCCCACCTGCCCAGCCTGCTGCAGTGACACTCACTCCCCTCGACGACCTTGGTGCAAACTGCTTAGCAATTATTTTGTTATAAATGAAATTCGAATTTTGACAACTAGGTCCCTTGAGTTAATAACAGTTTAATTAAAGATGAATACAATTTAGTAAATTCAATAGTAATTTGGTATAAAAGAATACAGTATAGTAAAAGAATACAATTTAGTAAAAAATGACAATTTATATATCAATAATTTGCCAGTAATTAAGTATGATTAAAGCATAAGCAAAACCAACCAGGGTACGGGGGGGGCTTGTTACCCCACCTCACATCCAAAACCCACCGTGCTGCAGAGGCTTCCCACCCTGCCTCACGTAGAAAACAAAGCACTTCAAGCTAACCTTATATACTGTATGCTTATACATATTCATTAATGTTTCCCATAAATTTCCTCCTAGTTCCGATTTTTCTGATTTTATGTCACTTTTCTTCATGGTGCATGCTTCACTTGTTGTTAGGGGGTCTTCAGTCTTCTTTTGGGGGTCTTTTTGCAAAGGCTTCTCCTGTTCCTCATTGTCCTTTGGATAACCTTGCAAGTTTGCACGTGCGTACTAAACGTTGTGTTATGTAAGGCTACTAATTAGTCTTATATATACTGATCTTTAGCCTCAATGTCTAAAATCGTCCTAATTTTGTCCATCTCAAGGCCATTTTCATCTTGAGACATCACTTATCTTCCAAACTACATCCTGTACCTCAATTTTAACATGTAACATCTGCAAAGGGATGCATCTGCCTTATAACACTGATTCTTTTGATTGCTTCTAATAATAACTTTAATAACAGTTACAATTTAGTTAGCACAAATCAATTCCATTTATTACAATTTCATAGTGGGAAAGGCCAGGGTTCAGCTGAACACACCCCACCAACACTTTTTCTTTAAGAACAGAATAAAAAATATTTGCAACTTTACACATGTTATTTGCTGCCCTAAAAACTCCTATTTGAATATGTAAGGGGACTAAGACTTGTTCAGGACCCTAAAGGCTGCATTTCTTCAGTTGGAAGAGGAGAGTTGGCTGCAGACTCCTCATGTCTGGTGGGGTGGTCAGAGCAGCTGCTGGTGCTGCAAGACCTTAAAGAGAGAGGGGCAGTGGTTTATTTATACCCCATGGGCATTTGTCACAGCAAAGCTTCCTGCTGGACATGGGCAGGCCAAGGCCTCGGCTGAGTGAAGGGAGGAGTGGCTTTGTCCGTGGGAGGGTGACAAACCACTTCAGTGTCTGTTGGGAAATCAGAGGGGAGCTTCAGGTGACTTCACCTGGTCATTCCCTCCTGTGCTTAACCCAGTGTGGGGCTGGGGCTGTGTCTGGGGCTCCAGGCAGGGTCTGGCCCAACCTTCCTGCAGTAATGCCCTTTGGGGGAGGAAACAGTAAATGTGGTGCCATCCAGAATCTGGGCTGCCTTTTCCCAGCCTCACACTCCCTGCTGCTGAAGGTGTCACTTCTCCCTTGTCTCTGGTGAGCTCTGAGCCAACTGGGAGGTGGGACTGTGGTGAATTCCTCTCCTCTGTTCCTATGACATTTCATGGATTTTTTCCATGTATTTTGATCCACTGCCTGGCTGCCATCACTCCTGTCTGTAGCCTCATTAACGAGGCCTTGCTGGGTGCAGAGTTCAGCAGTGAACAAGTCAGAAATGTGATGTAAGAGATCCAGTCCCGAAGAAAGCGTGCCCCAAAGCTTCTGCCAGAGAAGGGCCCTTCACTGATTCCCAGAGCACCCCCTGGGCTTATCTCCAGAGCCACAGTGGGGGAAAATGTCTGCAGGGAATGCTTGGCTTGAGCATAGAGAGAAGGGATTTTCTGCTTTTGCTTTGAGTCTGCCAAAGCTGTCTGGTTGGCCTTCCCAGCCTTTCCTGGCCAGGTCCTGCCTAGTGCCATGGCAGCCTCTGCTTCCACCAACTCTGGTGTCACCAGACCGAGAACAAGTGTCTGGCACCTCCTGGTCTGTGCTGATGAGCTTCCTGCCTCTTGTCTCTCTTGCAAGTAGATGCTTTGGTTACTCCATGACTTCTGCAGTGACATTTCCTATTTTTATTTTCAATAATGTAAGTGTTACAAATGCTATATTTATTTTCAGCTGTGTGTAGAGGATTTTAATCTCAATGTGCTTCTGCTCTGCTGCTTTTTTTCTTGGCTGGCATGTTGTTGCCATGCTCAGGACCTGGATGGTTGTTTTTGGTTTCTTTTTGTTTGTAAGATTTCATTTTGTGTTTCTTTGTTCTCTTTTTCTCTTTTGGTAATAACTTGCTCAGTGTGATATTTCTGTCTATTCTGGTAAATATTTTTAATTCTTACCTTAGGTTGTTCTTTTTTGTTTCATAGTCAGAGGGAGGTTTTTACTGTTTTCCTGATAATCTTATGAAATGAGTGCTTAATCAGCAAGCACAGCTGATCTTTCAGAAGTATTTAACTTTCCCTTGAGAGAAAAGTTTCAGGTATCTACAATCAGACACAGAAAACCACCAGGGGTCATGTCTGCCTCAACCTAACCTCTTCATCCCCCGACTACTTCTTCTCTCTCTCTCCTGGTTGCTCACTTTGCATCATCACCCAGTTAAAAGACTGAAAGGATTAAAGTACTTTGGAACTCACTCAGACTAAGCTGGTTTTGTTTTTTCCTTGACCTGAAGCTGAATTTTTCTTGTACTTTCTTTCCCCAAAATTCCAGCAGTTACACAAACAAACAGTATCCACAACATGGACTTTGCAGCTGCATGTAAATTCTTTTGTTGTCAGACTGGCTTTGGCAGAAAAACACCCTCAGCCTTGCTGATCCTGGACAGTCCTTTGTCCACCTTTGGCCAGTGTCCCATCTTCTGAAGGCACTGTGGTGCTTGCTGTAGGTGGTGCAGAGGCTGAGAGAACAGTGAAGGAGAAAGTCCTTACCTTAAGGAACAAACATTGGTAACCAAAAACCAGATGAGGGTAGTCTGGTTGGCCAGGTCACCAGAGCAAAATTTCTAGAGCTGGGTGGGCTCTAACCAGGGACTGGGGGAGAGAAGCTGTTTTTGGAGATTCACTAGCTGGATGAGATGTCAGCCTCCCCATAAGGAAGATGGAACGTATTTCAACACCACTCTACTGAGCAGAATCTTTTTAAATCTTTTTGGGAAAAGAGACTTTTGCACTTCCTCCTGTTATTTTCCTGAAGTGCTATTTAGGGACAATTGACCCAGCAAGCAGTGTTGCTTTCCTCATGCAAAATTGATTCCTGCTCTAGACCAAACCTGCGGGGTCCATGTGAGCACCAAGACCAAAGCCCCCCACCTCTGTACACTCAGGGCTCTGATAGCCTGCAGGTTCCCCAGCCAGCCCAAACTGCAGCTGGTGCCTTGTCCAGGGGCACAGGAGACCTCTCTCCTGCAGTCATTGGGCTGGGTGAGGTGGGGACCTGTCCTGCAGGGAAAAAAAGGCTGTGGGTGAATGTGTGTGTGAGGATATTGGAGTGGTGCACTCAGGCACGTGGATGCTGTAGTTGTCCTGGGGTGACACTGCACATACTGACTGGCTCTGCCCCAGGGGGGCCTGTGGCAGATACAATCCCCAGGGGAGACCCGGCTCCCTGGACAGTGACAATCTGAGCCCAAGAAGCAGGTCCTGGTCTGGTACCATGGCCCCCTCCCTGCTGGTGCCGGGGGCAGGCAGTGGAGCACATTTAAGGGAATAAATCACTTCGGTTCTTAATAAAGGTATCTGTCTGTCTCCTCTCATTCTTCTTCAGTGTCTCCTTTGGCACAGGACCAAACTGGAAGAGGGAACTCTTGAAATTCACCTTTATCTTCCTGGACTAGGCTGGTGGGCTAGGGAGGCAGGGAGGGGACAAGTCCCAGGGGTGTCTGGCCCTTGTGGTGCATCTTCACCCACCTCCCCAGATGTAATGGCAGGAAAGACCAGGCTTTCTTCTCTGCTGCCTGAAAGGCATGGTAAGGCCAGGAGCCAGGAAATGCCTCTGTGGGGAGCAGCTGTGCCCATGGCTGGCCCTTAACCAAACTTGTGCCCTTCCGCTCAGGGCTGGGCACCCGGCTTCCTTTTCCTCCTTTTTGTGCCAAAACAGCATCTGAAGGCTGCACCAGCCTGGATAGGGAGGGGTGGGGATTAAGAAGGTCTATTGCCCTTCCTGTTGTGTTCCCAGAAAGGCAGTTCTGGGAAATGTGAGCCTCGGTCAGTGCTGAGTCACAGCCCTGCTCCTACCTGCCTATGCAGTGGGACATGAGTCCTACATGTGTGGGGCAAGCATGGCCACTTTTTGTGGCACTAGGGAGCAGTGGCATGAGCACCAGCTGGGACAGCATCTCTCCCTCCCCAGGCAGAGCAGGACAGAGCTGGGAGTACCCCTGTACCAGGGGTAGGTGGTCAACAATACCCACAGAGACAGCACCACAGAGCTGGGAATTCCCATGGTCATGGACACTGCACCATGGGATGGCATTGGAACGGTGTGGGATGGTATTGGATGGCATTGCAAGGCACAAGAAGAGCGTACAGCCTGTTAGACAGCGTGGCATGGCACTGCCAGGGCGTGCAGCCCCTCACCCTGCACCCAGCACAGCCCAGCACAGCTCAGCACAGCCAGACTCTGCCCACAGCTGCCCTTACCTGCCTGGCTGCAGCATGATGGGGCACGAGCAGGGCCAGGGCCAGCAGCAGCAGCCTGGGGTGCCCATGGTGGTGGTGGCTGTGCGTGGTGCCCGGGCCCTGCTCCTTTCATATCAGAGGGAGCTGAGCCTGCTGCCAAGGGACACCCATGGGGTAGGAGAGCCCTGTCCTCCCTGGGGATGTGCAGGGGATCTGTGCAGGGCAGGGACGGTGAACTCACTTGATCTCAGATGGAGCTGGACAGGAAAAGAGCATGAAGGACATCACAGGGAGGGCAGCAGAGCCCTGTGAACACCACAGGGTACGGCATTTCCAAGGGCATCACAGTGAAGGGCAGGAGGGTTCCTAAGAACAGCACGGGAAGGACGATAAGCTCTTTCTGTCCACTTTAGAACTTAGTGTCCCCTAAGTCCCTGTCATGGGGTGGCTTTACCTTTAAGATAGCTTTGGGAACTAAGGAAGTTGAAGCTGCTGGTGGCTGATGGGAGTCTTTCCTCCTGACCAATTATCAGTCAATTCTAAGAATTGACAGCAGTTTTAACCATTAAAAAGTTAAGTCAACCTGTGAACCCTACCTTAAGATGTAAAGCCAGAGCTCTCTTGCTCTCTTTGTTTTCCTGGCTGTTAAAGGTAACAGAGCTCCGGCTGGCCTCCCGTTCCCTGCCCAGCCCATGCGGCCCAGGCGGGGGCTGTGCTGGGCCCAGCGGCTCCCGGCCGGGAGATGGGGCCTGCGGGGCTTGCCCCGGGCTCTGGCCGGGCCAGGCCGGTCCCTGGCTCGGCTGCAGTTTTTGCCGTGACTGAATTCACCAGAAACTTCTGAGTAAAGAAGGAAAAAAAGCTCTTGACCTGCAGCGGGCTGAGACAGTGACCACACTCTCCAGAGCAGCTATGAGGAATCTTCTATCGAAGACAGCTCCAGCTCCTGCTCCAGCAGAGGTCACAGAACCATCTACAAAAGCCTGGGCAAGATTTTAACCCTTTCATTACCCAGATGAGACTTGCAGATTAATCCTTTTATCCAAAAAGAGAAAAAGAGAGTGATCAACATGTAAAGAGACTAAACTATCAGAGACAGTAAAGAAAAGAATTAAGCTTCAGAAAAGGTAAAGAATAAGGAGATGCTTTATGAGCTGAAATATTTTTCTGTTAAAGCTATGGAGATGGACAATAAGGTCCTGAAAAAACTCCTTTAATTCATGATAGAGTATATAGGGAGGAATAGAGTGTTCAAAGTGTAAATTTTGAGTAAAAAGTAGAGTGATTGTGATACAGTGAAGTGCTGGAACAGAGTGAAGCGAAGATTTGAAGCCTTGGGGGGGGCAATGAGAAAACTGTTTTCTAGTGGAGCTCACAGAGATAGATGAAGAAGACTTTTGCCTTTGAATATCTCATCCTTAAAATGCCATCCCTAGACTCATGGCCCATACACACCTCAGAGTGATGTGAAATGGGAGGAGTGAGCTCTGATAACAGCAGGTCTGGGCAGCTGACATCAGGGAAATAGAAAACTATAGCAGAAATAGTTTTCTTGTGAGAAACTCCATAGATTAGCAGAAAGAGACTTCTGTTTCTCTACAAAGACTGAAGAAAAGACTGTAACAAGAATTGAGACTGTTTTAAACACCAACATTCCAAAGCTTTTGTCTCTGTTGTCATGTGAACAAGGGAATAGTGGGTAGTAGGGGATAAAAAGGGTTTTCTGGAAGTTTATTCTGGTGTTCTTATTCTTGTAATTTGTTAATAAACTTTCTTTATTCCTTTTTAAGTTTTAAGCCTGTTTTGCTCTTGCTCTAATCCATATCTCACAGCAAGAAATAAGTAATTTTTTTAGTTACTGGTTTAAAACCACGACAGTCCCTAGCAGGCTTTAGGGCTGGGTTGGGAAGCAGCATATCCTACTTGCTGTGAACATTCTTTCCCCACTTGTCTGTCTTGGGAGCTCCTGCAGGCAGGAAATCACCGAGGTGGCCCAGGGCTGTCAAGTGGGTGAAAAATGGCCTTTTCTTCACTCCCCAGGAGAGTGTTTCTGCAACCACATGGGTACAGAAATAACAATACCCAGGAAGGACAGGTTGTCCTGGGTGCAGCACTCCCAGAGCAGGCTGTGTCATCCTCACATGGCAAAGCCCACAGACAATGGAAAGGGACGGATATGCAGCCCCTTAGGGTCACTGTGGCAAGGTTGGTGGGACAGGGGTGCCAGCACATTCAGTGAGGAACACCTAGGGTTCCCACCTCCATCCATCTTCTGTTGGCAACTTCCAACAACAGCAGTGATGTCCCAGTCCAGCTGGCAAGGAACAAGAGCAGGCACTGAAGCCAGCACAGCTTCTGGCTGGACTGGTATTGCTTTGACGCATCAACACTCTTCCTTAACCCCAGGCAACGTGCCTTCGAAAGTTTGGGGTATATATTGGGCTGTATAAAGGGATATTTCCTCTTTCCCCTCCACTTTGGGCTGTATCACCTCAATAAATCTTGTATCTGATAAGCTCAGCATCCTGCATGGATGTAGCTGAGGGCTGAGAGGACAGTCCCCAGTTACAGACATTTTGCCTGCACCGTTGTTTTTCAAGGCTGACTCAAACCCCAGTTTGAGCAGCAAGTGAAATTGTTCATTAACTGTTTCTTACTATTATTCACCCACTCTTATTTTTCACAAGACCCTGAAGATTCATGGGTTTTAAACCACAGTCCTGCTGATTTTTAACTTCTTTGGTGTGTCCTGCTTTGGATTTCATCTCTGCCTGCTGGTTGCCCCCACTTCCTGCTGTGCCAGGGCTCAGGCATGGCATTGCAGAATTTAGTTGTGGTGATGATTGCCAGCTCCAAGCCACTTTGCTCTCTGATCTCCGGAGGGCACAAACCCCATGGAGACACCTTGGTGCTCAGCTGAGACCAGCTGAGAAATCTGCCTGCTTGAGCAGTGAGCTGAGTTCATGGACCACCCTGAACCTGCAAGATAAGCCACAGGGATTGTTAAGTACAGGGAAAATAAAGATTATGTGAACAAATAAACAGTCTTGTTTGTGTGATGCTAAAATAAACCTACAGCTGTGATTGAGCTGTGGGCTGCCATCAGCAGCACAAAGACTTTGTGTTGTCCATCTGCAGGATTCTGGCAGGAGCTCCCTGAACCATGGTGATGGAGAGGGGGTGATGGAGAAGGGATGATGTCTGCCCCTCCTGCCCTCTGCAAATGTTCCAGACTGACCTTACTTGTTATCCCAAACATTGGCAATGCTCTGGGCAGCACCTTCTTGCCAAAAAACAGTCAGAGCAAACAGCAGCTATGTGGGAAAACACGCCTTGTTATGCAATTGATTTCTGAGACAGCAAACACAGGGGCAGGAATGTCCAGCGAGCACCTGGCTCTCTCAACAGGGACCTCTCCTAGGTAGGATGCAAGAGAGCTGCAGGTCTCCTGCAGGGAGGAGAGGGGGGTGTGGAGATTCCAGCAGCAGAAATACAATGTTCTCCAGCCTGGATAGCACTGCATTTTACTGTCAGAGAGAAACCAGGACTCAAATGTGAAATTTAAGAGAAAGCAAAGGCTGAGAAAAATTAAAATAAATATTGTTTATTTTTGAGACATTGCAAAGAGCTGCCTTGTCTCCAGTTTACAAAAAGTATTATTTTCTGGTGAATAGGCTCCATCAGCTTTTGCTATTATGACTGGGGGAACTAAAACATGTATTTTAGGAGATTGCCTTGAAAACCATTTAGAAATGGGTGAGAAACTCTGGGCTGAATCCATTCACTTCAGCCTCCCTGGCCAGCAAATATAACCTAAGGGGAATTATGCAAATATTTTCTTAGAGTTGTCTAAGAATCCCTGTGTAAATACAACTTTGGTCACTATTAAAATCCAATGTCACAGATATTCAATGAATGTTTGCTTTTCATGAATTAAATAAGTTAATTCCAACACAGACCAGTCTGTAAAAACAACGGCTTAAAATGCACGTCAGACCTTTGTAAACCCATCAATATTGGGTGGAGGGGGGTGGGGTTGT